TTGTTATCCTTTTTCTTTTCTTTATAAACTAGAGACGAGGTATTTGCAAAGCGAGCAAGATTGGAAATATGACAGCTTTCCCTGACGTTTTCATACTATGCAAATTTTTTTCTTGTTGGCGGCTGCATTTTCAGATCAGGATATTTCTTTATTTTGCAAAACACGGCCCCACAAAGCAAACTTAGGGCCATGAATAACAAAAGAGTAGACGCACGCAGCACTGATGCGTATCTGACGTGTCAGAGTATACGCATAGATGCGTCAGACGTGCGTCAAGTTTGTGTCTGCGATGTTCACTTTATTCTGACCTGCACTGTAAAGGTCAGGATCATTGAGAAAATGGTCACCAATGAAAGATTAATTAGCTCTTCATTGTTGAACAAATTCTCCTTGTGAGCACCTTAGGAAATGTTTAGAGAACAGTATTGAGAATATGCATACTGATGTTAGGGTGAAAAAGATGAAGGTAAATCTATTTGGTCATGTCAGATTATTTAACAATACATTATTCTATCACTCAGGGATAAGAGAAGAATTTTTTTTTATTCAGAATATAAAAATAACCAGTGGTTGAACAGAGTCATTCATAACATCTTAATTGTTTACTTGTTTTGTGAGAGGAAAAGAAGCCTGAGGTACAGTTTTTGTGTACCCTTCAGTTGCAAAGGCATGATATGTGAACTGTCGTTTTGGTGCTTAAATTGAGCTGCTAATCAATGACATTATTTTGAGAATTTTATTAGGGACCATAAAATATTACATTTTTTTTCTTGTTTCTTCTAAGTCATTCCAAAGACTGTCCAAATTGTAGAGCAAAGGCTCAACTCTCATCTGCCAATTACCAGCTGTGAAGGTGAAATAAAAGTTAAAGGAGTGATTAGAATAGAACCCTAAGGTTATTTTTGATAGAACACCAACTCTCTCCTTTTTTTTTGTCAGGCAATACAAGGCAATTTGGAAGGAGAATCTTCTAGTCTCTCATAAGTCACTTAGGGCTTTTTTCTTTCCAGCTCTTCAATTTGCTGGCCCAGTTAGTGAAAGTTTTAAAAGTGAATTGTATCCTGTAATACATTCTTACAATTAGCGTCAATGTTTCAACAAATTTTAACATCGCATAATAGGCCTACATTTTTTAAAACACTGTTTCAGAGTGTATGCTTTTCTGTCAAGACTAGTCTGCTTCTGGTCTTAAGTAGATTCTATATGAGTTTAACATGGTTATTTTGGGCCCTAATCTTTAAGCTGTGCTGCAAACCTACTCAATGACTCAATTCTTAATATATTCTCATGTAAAGAGTATTTTTTTCATTTCCTTGACATGTCCAGTATTTTGCAAGAAACAAGAATGTAGTTGCTATGACAGTGGGTAATTAAGTGTTAAGCTTCCTGTTTGATCTTCCAAGTGCTAGGCATCAATACACTAAACATTAAATTGCAGAAGAAGTTCTTTCTCCAGGAGAACTTGACGAAAGGCAACTTAAAATTCAGGTAAGCAGGGATTTGAAACAAAAACCTTCCATTTTTTCTTGTCTAGGTTAAGCTTTTTTGTGGTGAACTGAAACATATCTTTCTCGGAGCATTTTGTTTTGTCTCTAACAAGAGTGAAACAAATAATTGACAAATAATTATTTATTACACGACTCAGGCAGTCAGAGGGCCAATAACTAAAATCAACCAATCAAAATGCTCTATTGCTGGTCCACTATTCTCTAAGTATTGGACCGGGCACTGTCCCGAATGGTCCCGAATGATACCGCACTTGTGTCCCTTTAGACCTCAGTCGTATAATAAATCTCTTATTAACCAAGCTTGCTCGGGACCATACTGGAAGAATATCGGCTCTCGGTCTTTATTGTACGGACCTCACTGCGCTCAGTCTGTACTGTCAAGACCTTGGGCCGATATTCTCCCACTACGGCCCTCGCGCTTGGTTAATAAGATATATATATTTACCTCATTGGAGATGAACAAAGGTGGATATTCACCTTGCCACTTTGTGGCTCAGTTAATATGTACTACCATTCATCAACACTGAGGTGAATAACTGTT